ACATTTTATGTAAATTTGTGTGCTTTACCTCCCAGTTAAGTAATTCTTTAATTATCTAATGTAATGTTTAACTCACTGTTGGGTTTTTTTTTTTAATGTTTTATTTTATTTATTTCAGAGAGAGAGAGAGAGAGAGAGAGAGACAGCATGAGCAGGGGAGGTCAGAAAAAGAGGGAGATAAAAGAATCTGAAACAGGCCCCAGGGTTTGAGCTGGCAGTCAGCAAAGAGTCCCACACGGGGCTTGAACCCATGAGTGGTGAAATCATGACCAGAGCCAATGTTGGACACTTATCAGATTGAGCCACCCAGGCGCCTCCCCACTGTTGGGTTTTTAATCTCACTAACTATATTTATATTTTAAAATCTTTCTTATGTATCAAAATTTTCTGATTTTTTCTGAAAGTGTCATGTTTCTTGCTGCTTTTGATTCCCTCTTTTATAGTATATGTGTACCTAACTGTTTTAATATCTAAAGTTCAAGGGGTTTAATTTTGGGTACTGACTTATTTTCTTGTTCAGGTTGGTATATCACCTTGGATTCTGAACTCATTTTCAGATAGATGTTACATGTGGAAATAATGTGAACCTTGGGATGAAGATGTTTTCCTCCAAGAAGGATCGGTATTAGTTTTTTCAGGAATCCTGAAGAGCTAGCTACCCAAATATCTCTATGGGTTTCCCAGGCCACCAAAATAAGTCCCTAGTGGTCAAAAGGAAATGGCTGTGATGATAAATTTTCAGAGAAAAACTTTCTTCTCAACTCAAAGGCAAGAATGAAGCAGATAATGTACCTTGTAATCCCTATTTACCAGGGGTAGATAATTTTAAATTAATCTTTTAGTAAAAATGTAGGCCTTTATGTGTTTCCCACCTTGAAATAGAGGTCTCAGTTAACACCCATCTTTCTTAAGCAAAAGGTCTATTATCCTATTTAGATGCCAGTTAATAGGCACATTCCAGATTACTGAATGGCATAATGCCTTAGAGGAGTTATATACTTAATGATTGTTTTTTTCTTTTTAAAGTAATCTCTATACCTAATGTGGCACTTGAATGCAGAACCACAAGATCACAAGTCACATGCTCTGTCAACTGAGCCAACCAGGCAACATTCCCTCTCATCTTTTTTTTTTTTTTAATTTAATGTTTATCACTACAATTTTCTGTTTTTTCTTAATTTTTGGCCTCCAATAAATTATCTTCTTTTTGGAATTTCATTGTCCATAAAATAATAAATAAAAGCAGTCTGTTATTTTTATCCAACATTTTTAGATATTTTGTTCAAGTATTTTCATGATATTTAGGCTGCCATACTTTGGAAGTAGAACTAATTTATCTGTTTACATGACAGTTTTTGAGATGATATTTTTTTTTTTAATGTTTTATTTACTTCTGAGAGAGAGACAGCATGAGCAGGGGAGGGTTAGAGAGAGAGGGAGACACAGGATCTGAAGCAGGCTCCAGGCTCTGAGCTAGCTGTCAGCACAGAGCCCGACGTGGGGCTCGAACCCACGAACTGTGAGATCATGACCTGGGCCGAAGTCGGATGCTTAACCAACTGAGCCACCAGGTGCCCCTGAGATGATATTTTTCATCATCACAATTTTGAAGTTGGCTGAAATAGCATTTGTGTACTTCCCTTTTGTAGAGCATGCTATTATAAGTGGTAGCAGTGAGTATGAGCTTTGCCACCATGATGTTACAAATGATAGTGTGGTGACTTTACTGACTGATAGCTTTCAAGTAAAACAAAGAAAAACACATTCAATTATTATTTTTTGATGTCCCTAATATATTTTCAGGATTAATGTAGGCAAAAATCTCATTCAATACTGGTTATCTTCATCAGTTAGATAATGAACACATTCATCTAAAAGAGTTTATTATTATTTATTATTATTATTATAAGCCCAACTATGAGATAGCATTTGGCTATTATTTGAATAAAGCCAACTCCCCGGGTAGTAGTATCACAAACAACTTGAATCATGAATGGTGTTTATCTCCCAATTAAAAGTTTAAATATGAGACATAAAAGAATAAAATGCAAATTTAGCTCTTTTTGTAATAGATGGACTCTTTGATAAAGATATAATAGCGACTTCAGTAATCTAGAAAATTATGGAAGAAAAAGCAACTAGTAACAATATAGCATTGTTAAAGAAAAGAACATTTTAAATATTACCTAATCCTTTCTCTGACAGACATTTTTATAAGTTCATTTTTTTGTGATCACAGAAGAAATCTCTATGTATTGTTAAATTCCAAAGCAATGTAGAAATTTTTATGAAGTAAACTATGCTCTATAAGAAGAGGTTACTCTTCTCTTGAAATAACTACATTTATTTATTATAATGATGTATTCTTCTGAATTCTTCTCAGTGTATAGTAATATACAGCTATATTATTAATTTTATCCTGCAGAAAGGTATTCTTACCATGTAATTTGCCTTGTAACTTGCTCTTTGCTGAATAATGTATAGTGAAATATCCTACTATTTAAGCTTTATTTTTTTTAAAATGTTTTTTTAATTATTTCTAGGAGAGAGAGAGACAGACAGCGTGAGCAGGGGAGGGTCAGAGAGAGAGGGAGTCACAGACTGAAACAGGCTCCAGGCTCTGAGCTGGCAGTCAGCACAAAGCCCGACGCGGGGCTCCAACCCACAAACCGCGAGATCATGACCTAAGCGAAAGTCGGACGCTTAACCGACTAAGCCACCCAGGCGCCCCTATTTAAGCTTTAATATAGTGATCTCTTTTTCTCTTTATAGGATTTATAGAATCCCACTGCATGGATATACCATGATTTACTCAACTCCTTTCCTATTAATGCTATTGGTGACTTATAATTTTTTCACTACTGTAACAATTTTGTAATGCATTTCCATGTACACATGTATTTGTATTCTTATATGAGAATTGTATAGCATATATTTTTGAAACATTGAAAACTAAACACTTTATATAATAATATAAACATAATACACTAGTAATATAAAATATAATCATATTGTGATTGTTGTATTACTGAAAATAATAATGCATAAAGCACCAAAATCCCTCCCAAAAATGTTAAACTAATTCATTTTGTCATAAATTGTGCATCACAATTCTTGTTTTTTTCACACCACTGTTGATCTTTGGTATCAGTCATCTTTTAAAACTTCCCAATCTAATAGGCAAGCACATTTTACTACTTGTATATTTGCAATAATTATTATTAAACTGAGGTTAAGCATGTCTACTTATATTTGAAATGCAGGGGGTTTACCTTATTACTTGTAAATGGATAAGATGGTCTCATTGCATCCTATCTTCTACCTGTGGCAAGAAAATAACCAGGAATGAGATAACAGTATAGAAATCAAAATCTTCCCTACAGAAAATCAGTTTTTACTTAAGTCCCATGAGACTTTACTGGTAAAATGAAAGGGTGCTGAAGTTCTTTCAATTCATTACATAGCCCCACGATCCCAACCTCCAGCTCCTTCTCATTTCTCTACGAAGAAAAAGGTCACAGATCTGAGAATGTCTGATATCCTCCTGGATTTAAACCACATCAATAAACTAACCTTCACTTAGTTGACTGAAAGGAATGTCTTAGTGTTCAGACAGGAATTTGGACATTACATAGATATTGCCAAAGGGTTTTTGATAACCTTATTCTTCCTACCATATACTGACAGTTCATGTTGTGTAATCTTCAAGTTCAATAGCATTTTCCTAGTTTCATTGTCTGAAAATGCCATAGACTGGTATCTCTGAGCATGGATCAGTTAGTGTATTTGTTCCTGCATAGGAAGAGAAAATTAGATACAGTTCACTGTCAGTCATTTTGTCTTAAGCTCGATATTTCAAATAAAAATGAGTAGTATTTATTTCTCTACAGTTTCTTTATGTATAAGGCATTTAAAAAACAAGAATCTTGGAAGGTTGAGAATAAATGGATAATATTAAAATCATTGTGAATATAATTTATTTATAGTATTAAACCTGCAATGGTATGTTTTGTTTTGTTTACTTTCATTATAAAAATACATATTGGATCAGTATACTACCTTCTAAAGCCTAAAAAAGTATTATAATGTTAAATGCATGTGTGAATGACCAGGAAGATTTTACCATTGTTACTTAACCTTTATGTATTGTATGTCTTTAAATATGTCAAGATAATATTCCTGTTTCTCTAAAGTACATACCTGGATAATTTAAGATTTCTATGCTTATCGTAACATTAAATTTAAAGAGATGATTTTACTTCCCTGGAAATAACTCAACATTTTATATAGGTAGCAGGGTTATTATATTAAAAACTCCTTAATTTGAAATTGAATTTGCTGGCTTATATTACTCACAATGAGTGTTTAAATATCTTTGTAATTATAATCTATATCAAAATTATTTAACAAAAAATTCTTTTTTATATTTTCACAATTTTTGTGCTCTCTAATACACCTATTTGTTTTGGAAATTCTCATTCTCATAAAAATGACCACAAAATTAAAACTTTGAGTTCTGTTTCCAAATTCTACTTCATACTAAAGGTATGGTTAATTGTGTACCATTTAATGAAAAACACTTTAAGTGTTTTAAGGAGAATATTAATGACTATATCAACACTCCCTGACTGGCAGTGACTGGTGTGGGCCTTTGAGTCTCTTAGAGAACAGAAGAAGGTAAAAGACTCTGTTCAATTGATGAGGTTTATTCAACAATCTGTACAGTTGATACCAATATCTGTTACCTTGCTCCATTATTATTCTGAGAATTTGCAACCAGAAGGAAGAATCCATTGTAAATTTGTTGTTTTCCAAGAAGGAGTCTATTATTTCCACCTCCAGCCAGCTGCTCTGTGATACACCACCTCCACATACCTTTTCTCTCATGATGCCACCACAAGAGCTTAAAGATTGTTTTTTTTTTGCCATAAATTGTATAACTTCTCTCTCAGGCAAGGTAAATCAAAGTGCAACATAGACACGGTTTGAAACATATGCAAGTGCTTGCTTACGCAGCACATATATTAAAATTGGAACAATATAGAGAAGATCAGCATGGCCCTGCGCAAGGATGACATGCAAATTTGTGAAGCATTCCATATTTTTGTGTTATGCTGAGCAAAATAAGTCAGGCAGAGAAAGACAGATACCATATGTTTTCATTTATAGGTGGATTAGGAGAAACTTAACAGAGGACCAAGGGGGAGGTAGAGGGGGAAAATAGTTGGGGAGAGGGAGGGAGGCAAACCATGAGAGACTCTTGAATGCTGAGAACAAACTGAGGGCTGATGAGGGTGGGGCGGAGGGGAAGGGGGGTGATAGGCATGAGGGAGGACACTTGTTGGGATGAGCACTAGGTGTTATATGGAAACCAACTGGACAATAAAGGATGAAAGAAAAAAAAATAAAATCAATTACAATTACAAAAAAAAGAAAACAGAGGAAGAGAAAAGTGAGGCAATTTCTACAGATGAACCAACTAATAAAGAGTAGAACCAGAAAAAAAGGAAAAGAAACATATGCAAAAACAACAACAAACAAACACAAACATGTGCATGTACTTTTGCTCTTCCTGCTTCCCATCTTTGTCCTACTTTTCTCATGACATAGCAGAGCAGTTATGCAACTTTGTTTCCTTTATAAACCATATCCATTATGGATGTGTCTATCAATTCTTGCCTCTATATTCCCATGACCTTTCACAAAGAAGATGAAATAGATCAAGTCTCTGGCTTCTAAGAACTTAAAGTCCAGTAAGTTCACATAGATGGTATTTGAAAAACTCCTTACTAAATGGACTACTGGATTCTCTCTCTTCTAGTAACATAAAACTCAATAATACACCCCTTTCTAGAAGCATTAGAGATATGGAAATCTTTTTTATTTTTTACTAATTTACTTTATCTGATGGTTTATTCTATTTAAGCAAACTAAATAATATATAATACAGTGTTTACCCTGTGGAAGGGGCCATGGATAACATGGAAAGTAAAGTGAAATCCTTTGAAGTATATTTACACACACACACACACACACACACACACATATGTATATATGTTATTTATAATTCTTATTTTCTAGAATGTGATAATTCATAACAACTGAATAAATGTATTATTTTTGTTATTTTTCTGAGGTATTAGAGTAGGGTATAAGAGCTGAGTGTAGAAGCTCATACTGGATACATTCTTCTGCAAAGTAAAGTGGGCAGTGGCAACGTTGACAACTAAAAGGGGAAATTAAAGAAGGTAGAGGCTAGGATATTGGCCACCATTTGGAGTGGGATTATAGAAGAGATCCCACGAAATGAGATAGTTTGGGGAAGAAAATCAGATGGTGAGTTTATGGGAGTCAAATGACTCCATCAAATTTTCACAAAAGGGGCTAAATTGAGGAAATGTTGATTGTGTTTAGATTTCTCATAACAAGCAATGGAGGAATCTACTTCTGGAGAGGGGGGATAAAATCAGCCTATGAGGATGTTCCTCTTACATATGAAAATGTAAGTAATAATTTATGAAAGAACACAACGACTCCTGAATGAATACATCAACAGAAAGTATTTTTAATGAGTTCAGAACAAGGGTAGTCAGGAAATTCTTCATACAGAAGGGAAGATTTCTAAGCCTTTGCAAATTTAGGTTGAAAACCACCCACTGCTAAATAGTAACCCAACTGGAAGTTTCCTATACATCTCACAAATCTCAGGAGATCTTAAAGCTCCTTATGAAAGCATGCTTGTGTGCACTTGTAGAGAATATACATAACAGAATTTATGTTCTGGAGAATATGAGAGTATGTTCCAGCCCTGTTCTTAGCCTAGACAGTAGAGACTAATTATGATGTACATGAGGACAAGTAAATCATTATTAACCTCTTAAACACTGACATGAAAGCATTTTCTTTAAAGTTTTTGGCACTTCCCTGTCCATATCATGGGACAGAGAAGCAAACTTAGTCTTTTTTTTTTTTTTCTTTTGGAGTTCTCAGAAAGATATGTTATGAACTTAAGACATGGTCCCTTAAATTAAATTCTTATAATTAATCCAAGCAACCACAAAATATTTACAAAGGAATACAGAAAGAACTTGAAGTAACAGCTAAGTTTATTAGGTGCTATCTTCACTAAAGTATTACTTAGATATGAGGTATTATCCTTACTAAAAGTTAATATTCATGGACTATATTTATGTAGTCCTGCGTCCTACTTATACTCTTTATTGCCCTCTTGAACTATGATTATTCACATACCTATTTTCAATATCTTGGTAACTTAGATGTTTTTATAGTCCTGGACATTATACATAAACTGAAATAAGACAAATCTCAAGGAACCCACACTTATCCTTGCCATACAAAATTAATTAACAAATACAAAATTCAAGACGATACACTAAAGAAGATACCAAGTGGAAGTAACTGGTTATGAGGTTAAGAATGACACACTGAAGTCAGGCAGCTCTAGGTTCTGCTTCTGGTTCTGCTAATTATTGTCCAAATTTTGGCATTAAAAAAAACTGTCAGTGCCTCAATGTCTTCCTTTATAAAATGGAAATGATATCTATTATCTATATTGTATAAATATCAAATAAAACAATACCTAAAAAGGGCTTAGTGACTGCTTGAGATAGGGATTTATAAATTATTGTTATTTATCATTAACTTACATATTTAAATGTTAATTCAGTGTAGGAGCAAAAATAATCTGTTTTGTACAAGAAGCATTATAACTACAAAAATGATTGCCTTTCCCATTAGAGTAAAAGTGTTATGCAGGCAGGGATGTTTATCATATTCACAATTCCAACGCCATAAGTCTTAGCACATGGATGTCATTGAATTGTACATGTTTACTTATTGGATGCATATGTATCATCTGGGGAACTTTTATGGAACTTTTAATGGTCCCAAACCAAATTTGGAAACCTTCTTATCTACAGTGGGTCAAACAGATATTCAGACTATGACTAAACAAAATTTGTGTAGTTTCACTGAATCCTGCTTTGGTACATATGAAGGAGCCAAGTTTGTGGCCATCTGCTTATGATAAAAATACTAATAGAAGTCAATTCAGTGATTTGGATTTATTCACCTATTTTTATGAGCAGCAATTTGTTCCCTCTAAGATACAAAATGATAAGTAAGATTTAATCTTGTGATCTAATAGAAAATAAAGCATTGATACAAGGAAAAGAATGATATGGACCATTAAAGAAGTACCACTAAGAAAGAACCATCAAAATGTACTGTGAATGTTCAAGTGGGGAAATATTTATATTAATTAAAAATAAATTACTAATAACTGATTAATACATTTGGTAAATAAATCGTTATATGATCTACACATTTGTTCTCCCATGATCTCTTGATTTTTTTTCTCTATTACTATCCTTTCTGACAATCCTGTGCTGTAAATAGAATTTTTTTAGGTAGAAGAATCACTGAAAACTTCTTATGAGAGCTGATACTTGAATAAGATTTAGAAGCAAGAGAAGGATAGCTGGAGAATAAGATAAAGACTACATTTCAAAATTTAAAAAAAGTATTATTTAAGGATTCTTATGGATTTCATCATTTAGTTAGAAATATTGTCTATATGACTGTGATTATTATTTGGATAGTTCAGGTGTATTTTTCATTCATTTGTGCTTGCAATTCTCCAACTTCTGCTCCATGACCATGTAACATCACAAATGGTCCTGACGGCACTTTGCATGACTTTTTCCTCTTCCAAACTTTTCCTTCAGCTTCTCTATCTCCTGAATGACTTTTTAACAGTAATGTATTACATAGCTCTGATTTTAAGATGAATCAGTTTCATATGTTCAAACTGTATTTATAATAATCCAAGAAAAATGAGGCACCTGGGTAGCTCAGTCAGTTAAGCGTCCAACTTCGGCTCAGGTCATGATCTCACAGTTCGTGGGTTTGAGCCCCGTGTTGGGCTCTATGCTGACAGCTAGCTCAGAGCCTGGAGCCTGCTTCAGATTCTGTATCTCCCTCTCTCTCTGACCCTCCTCTGATCACATTCTCTCTCTCCCTCTCCCTCTCTCTCTCTCTCAGGAATAAATAAAACATTAAAGTTTTTTTTTTAAATCCAAGAAAAATAATATCCAGAGAGAGGTATGAAGGAGTGATCAGTCGTTACACACCAGTGTTGTCTGCTTTAAAAATAAAAATCAAGTTTTTAAATGTAACAAAATAAGTTTAACTGTACTGTGAGCACCTTGAAATTACAAGCTTTTATCTTTCCATCGCCTGTCATGTAGCACATGCTCATTCAATCTTTGTTTGATGAATATTCGTAGTGTTAATACAGATTAATCACTGAGCAGTGAAGAATAGAGAAGTTGATATTGAATAAGGTTATGAATTCATTAATTTTTTCCATCAACAAAAACTAGCTCAGTTCTAACAACTGTTCAAGAACTGATCCTGGTACTAGAGATAAGCTGGTGAATAGCAGGTTCTGCCTGTCCTCAAGGAGATTCCAGGCCAACAGGAAAAACGCACATTGAGCTACAATTTATCCCTTCTTGTGGCAAGTGCTATGAAGGAGAAAGCACCAGAAGCAAATGACAAGAGGATATTTCTGATTGTAAAGCTGACATTAAAGTTAAACTTTTTAAAATGTTCTTCTGAATATAGCAAAGAATATAAATATAGGTTATTGTAAGAACTAAGAGCAGACTCAGAGTAAATAACAAAAGATTTAAACAGGAAAACTTAAGATGAAAAGTTTCTCTTTCTCTCTGATAGGTCTTAGGCAAGATTTTTAATACTTGAAGGAACCTGTTTTAAAACTAAGGGAACCTGAAGAATTGGGGAATGAGGAGGTTAATGAAATGGACTGGTTCCAAACATCATTATATTCCTAAAGCATGTGGCACTATGCTTTACATGCAACATATGCTCAAAAAAGTGTTAAGATACTAAATAAATTACTTACTATAAAAGTAAGTCAAGATGACGGGTTAAAAGACATGTAGAAGAAACTACCAAAGTTGGATTATTTTAATTAGGGACTAGGAGGGAATTTAGAAAGAAGTGATATGACAATGACTTGAACAAAGGGATCTGTATTTCTTTTAGACCTTGCTCTTCAA